TATTTGGATTCGCATGCAAATCCCTTCTTAATTTGGTCAAAACATGCACTTTCCTTTAGATATTTTTAAGAATTGCTACATCATGTCTCTCCCCACCCTCACTCCCTTATCTACTTTATTACAATTTCCATATTGCGCGAACTAACTTCTTCCTTGTTTTTCTTTCCTTGTCTTTACGTTTCATTCAATACTGCATTTATTGCTTTCATCATGCAAAAAAATATTTGACAACGTGTTGTTTTATCTTTGCATAAAGCATGCTCCAAATCATATTCCATTCGTGCGTAATTAATACCATAGCGACACTTGATGAGTGTCCGCGCTCTTCCTAAATCACCCTTTGAATTTGGAAAGGCTTATTTGCAGTAAAACTAGTGGATCAGCGGTGTAGTCGACGGTTCCGTGCCTTTCCCTCTCAAGTTGTCCGCTTGAGGGTACCGGTCTAGACCCTTCTAGAAACCCAACTCTAATATTAACTGTGCATGCATCATGTCCAAACCTAGTATGGGTTAGAATGCTGTCCGCATAATAACTCGGTAAGGCAAGCCTTGTCTAAAGTCCGCTGGGATTTCCATAATCCCAATGGGCACAATCACGATCTGTGCATTATTTGGAGAAAACATGCCCATATGTTGATCATTAACGTCTAAATAGCCAAATCTAGAGGGGGCAAGGGCTAACTCTATTTGTTTTTCAGAAATGAGGCACGAAGTCCCCGGGTTCGGCATGGTTTGAAATATCCCACCTTTGCTGCTGGATTGGTGGGAAAATCTCGCACCAAGTGATAGAAACCATGTGAAAAGAGTCCTCGAAAATTTACCCTCTATGTTAGACATTCAGCCAAACAATGCATTAATTGAGGCCGCCACCATGTTCTGGGATGAGAATAGAGCTGTTTTCCGTTTTGGTGACATAGAAATGACTCCCCTTTTAGAAGAAATAGGAGGTTTTGCTGGGCTCCCATGGGATAGCCCTGGTTTATTGGTACCAGAAAACCGCACTCCTCGAGGTTTCTTAAAATTAATAGGTTTCTGAGAAAAATGATGATTTAGTCTGTCTGAAGAAGTCTTACATACCATTCGACTTCCTTTATGAGCGTTATGGGCACAACAAGTCATACCGCCTTTACCATGATGAGTTTGCCATTACTTCTTTGGGTTGGACTCACCGCCGAGTTTATGTATTCATTGTCTGTTTTCTGGGGATGCTGGTATTTCCGATACAGGGAGAAAGGAGCATCACTCGCCTAGCTATGGTCACTAATGCCTTAATGGAGGGGATTGAGGGGCAAACTCACACTATTGTCCCTATGATTTTGGGTGATATGTACCGGGCTTTTAGATCGTTGGAACACCTTCAAAGAGGGGAATACCATCAAGAACTTCCACGACGACCATGGAATTACCACATAGCCTATCATCATCCGAAGAGAATGACTTTTATCCCAAAAAGATTCGCGCAACCAGAAAATGCTGTGAGCTGGGCATATTTCTTTGGCAATTTGACCGATGACAAGGTACATTGGATGTTCGAATGGTTCCCTAGCAGTGAATTCATCATCAGGTCGAGAGGTACTCCTCATCTAGTGCTAATTGGATTAAGGGGGATCTATCCTTATGCTCCTATCAGGGTTATGAGGCAAGCTGGGAGAAAGCAGGTTATATCACGAGTTTCCAAAATGGTTCAGTACAAGGCAAACTTCCAGGGGAATGCAGTTCCATTCAAGTTCGAGGCACAACACATGTGGCATCAAAAAATAATTGTGGAGAAAGACACCTGTTGGGACCAAACACACACGCAAGTATATGTGGTGGTCAAGTAATAAAGTGCGAAAGTCGGATGTCGAACCCACAGAGACTTAGATTGATCGTTAACTAAGTAAACTAAAGTCAATTAATTGTCCAAGATATTAAGAGTGATGTTTTTCCAGTTAATCTACTATTGCGAAAATTAAACAAATAACAACTAAATTATCGAGAATGCAATTTTGTCTGACGAGATTTTACTTCTGAAGGAGATGGAAACTCCAAGATTGTGGTTGGTTTATTAAGTTCAATAATCACACTTGTTAATCCAGATTATCTATGGTAACTAATTAACTGGATCTTTTATCTGAATAGCATGTTCCCACAATACTACTCGCCTGCCCACAATATATCAACCCTATATTCCTATGGTATTGAGTCTATCATGAACGAACATAATATTGTATTCAATTAAACAAGACTGTTAGGTATATTCCTATCCTAATCGCGAAATCTTCCCCCGAGCCACGGGTTCAGAAACAAGCTCTCTCTAATTCTACTCTAATCTAAATACGGCTTTCCCAAGCATATCATAGATAGTAAATAGAACTCAACTGCTGGCCGGACAATTAAGCAATTATGCACAAAATTAGAGAAACAACCACAAGATGATAATCCGAATTAACGAAGATGTAATTAATAAACGTTAATAATCATGTCAACCACAACCCTAGAACGTAGAGTGCTTAGCCACTCATGTTCATAATAACAATTTTCCAAGTCTTTTGCATAAACAAATTACAAAGAAAAGAAAAAGGGAGGAAGAACTCTATGGTTTTCTCCTCCAAAAGTTGTCCACGTGATGTACTTGCCTTCGGTCGCAAAACACCTCCCAAAGTGGCATTTTTAGGTCTATTTTTATGTGTAGGAAAAGACCTAAACATGTAGGTAAGTCTCAGTCAAACCAGGAGATGAAATAAAGCTTCAAAATTTGTAATGGACCTGGCCCTAGGTCTGGCATCGCCAGGCTAAAGCCTGATTCTGCTTGGCCTTTGCTTTGCAGCGCCAGCCTAATGCCAGCTTCAGCAAGGCCTTTGCCTGGCCTCACCAGGTTTGTCTGCTTCAAGCCTGGCGTCGCTAGCTTTCTCCTTTTCACTATTCTCGAGCACACTTTCAACGTATAAGTATCCCTTTTGTTCTACTTTCATCTCCAATTCAGCTACACATAAAATAGACTCCATTACGCGTAAATAAATTGTAATTTATCATTAAAGCATGTAAAATGCAAGGCAAATAATGTACGAAACTATGGAATTATAGCCACACATCAATACACCACACTTAAACATTGCTCATCCTCGAGCAATCAAACTACACTTATGGACACAACCTTTTTAAACAATCCTCCTAACTCATCACACCATGAATCTTTAAAATAGACTAAGCTCAAGGGTGTAACATCTTCACCGCAAGATTTGACTCACAAGTACCATGCATCATTTCACAATTCACTCACTTACTCTAACATAGAGGTCAATGACATTACCTTTCCTTCATGAATCAAGTTCCCTCACACAACAAAAGAGAGTATTCCACACACAATAAAATTTAAGAACAATTAGGAACTCAAGAAAGAAAGAATTCACTCACTCTCAGAAATAACATTCATATGCAACAAAAGATACACCATAGGCTTTCCCGTAGTGTAATACTCGACTAATCGAGCTCATTCAGTCTAGGATCAATTAGGACTTTCATTGGTTGTAATGTAGGCTGCGGGTCGGGTAGGATACATTTGGATATGAGAGTAGATACACCTCCCTCAGTACTTCAATACATAAACTTTAACATTCAACCCCCATCCTTATGTCAAACCATAATTCCACCTTCACATCATTGTGTATTAACTCCATATTTCTTTAAGCACAATTACATCAAGAGTCACCACTATCACTGAAAACATTTCACAGCAATACAACTATTTTTTTCTCTTTTCTTCTTTTTCAATTCGAGTGGCTCTTACTTTTTCAAAACAGTGCACCTTTCTCCTTGTTTCATTAGTTCCACTCAAAAGCCAAACGAACCACCCCACACTTTAACTTTTACAAAGTTCATAACAACTCAAGTGCTCATGAGGGCTGAAAAGGTTCAAATAAATGGTTCATTTAAACAAATGGGTAAGGCTTGTAATGTGATTGCCAAAGAAACAGGATTACAGGCTCAACATGGTTAACTACGATACATAACAATTAGGTGGGTGAAATAGATATACCTGGCTCAACAAAGAAACGCCTATATCACTTCCAAGACTGAAAAAAACTACTATTTCGCTTTGCAAACACACAGGGCAAGTTCTAGACATCAAATGCAAAGCACAGAATAACACACAAACCTCACACACACATGGCACATAACTCACTCAGGATTGGGCTCATCAAGACACTCTAGTCAAAGCAGTTAAGCAAATTTAAGATTATACAATTTAAGGTACTTATACAGGAGTCAAAAACTAAGCCTTAGCGTCACAACCAAAGTACTCACTTTCTCAATGCATAACAAAGTCAAGAGATATTGCTTCAATTCAATTCACATCACAATGGCTCCTCTCCAAAAAAAAATAAAAAAAATAAAACGACCTACACCCGGTTAAAACAAAACCATTGGAAAAGAACCACGACACAAAGAAAAACCAAGGGGGAATTACAACACTACCTACAAAGAAAATCTTTTTGTCCGTTTTCTATAGACTTAAATCCCCCAAGAAAACTGTCTAGGAGATACATCGTCGGGAAGAGTCCAATTTTTCTACTTTTTTCTACTAAAATACTACACAACTACGAAATCACAAATAAGAAGTTAACATTTTTCTACATCATACTACTAATCATCTAGAGAATTCTCCTACCCCACACTTAAAAGAGTACAGTATCCCCAATGCACAAATAAAGCAAAACAATAACAAGGGTACACAAGGAACTCCCTGAAAGGCCAAAGGCCGATGCAATAGTGGCTCACGGGTACTCAGACTTCCCCCAAGCATGTTCCTTTGTGTGGCACCCCACACTTAGTTTTCACCATCTAACTCGCTTCTGCACTCTTCCAATGGCTTTGCTTCCTATTCTTATAATCCTGCAAAACAAAACAACGCTACAACAATAATAAGAAAAAAAATAAAAATAAAAGAAAATAGTAAAGATGGGCTGCCTCCTAACAAGTGCCTGATTTAATATCGCGGCAGGACTTGAACCACCTTTTTCAGGCTGGGTGCTTTATCTTCTTTATTCTCCCATTAAGCCTAGCCTTTTTACACTCTCTCAGAAGATCTTCTCTTTCATCTCTAGCTCTTTTCTCAATCATCATTACACACTCACCTTGCAACACCACCTCATCCAACTCAGTCGTCCTATCCGAATCACTATAATTCACATCAGGACTCTGCTCTATCCCCTTCAGTTCTACCGCAGTAATCATGCACAAGTCCTCATAATGCTTAGGGAGCTTAAGTGCCTTGTACACATTAAAAGTAATTTCCTCATTGCCAACTCTCATCTTCAACTTTCCTTCCCTAGCATCAATAAGCCTCCACCAGTAGCTAAGAATGGTCGCCCCAAAATAATGGGTACTTCCTCATCTGCCTCATAATCAAAACAATAAAATCAACAAGAAGAATAAACCTTCCCACTCGAACTAACACATCCTCAACAATTCCTTCTGGCATAACTAGTGACCTATCTACCTAATGAAAAGTGATTGTAGTAGGTCTATGCACCCCCAATCCGAGTTGCTTGAACAAAGAGGATGACATTAAATTTATACTAGCCCCTAAATCACATAGGGCTCTACCAACTTCATGTTTTTCAAGAGACAGAGTAATTGTGAAACAGCCAGGATCCTTCAACTTAGGAGTGAGTTTACTTTGAACTCTAGCACTACACTCTTCAGTAAGTGCAACTGTTTCAAACTCCAATTGTCTTCGCTTGTTTGCCACAATATCTCTGAGATACCTTGCATACTTAGGCACTTCCTGCAAAGTTTCCTCCAAAGGCAAATTCACATGCACATGGCTTAAAATATCTAAGAATTTTTTGTACATAACATCATCTTTTTGCCTTTGCAGTCTTTGTGGAAACGGAGGTGGTGGCCTTGTCACAATTTCTGGCTTTTCTTTCTCATTCTCCTTAACGGGCTTAGGAACTAATTCTTCGTCGGGTCTAGCTATATACTTCTTTTTCTCTGGAACTTCTTCTAATTCTCTTCCATTTCTCAAGGTAACCGCATTGACTTGAGCCTTATGATTAGGTTCAGTATCACTCAAGAGAGCTCCAGCAGGTCTAGTATTCTGATTGATAGCTATTTTCCCAAACTGCCTCTCTAGGTTTCTGAATTCTATGCGTAATTGTTGATTCTCAGCCATTACTTTCTGATTGTCTATCAACAACTTTTTCATCATGTCGGTCAAACTCTCCTCTGCTTGCTGTGGAGGTTGAGGTGGATGATTGTAATTCACTTGAGGCCTGATATTCTGATTTCCACCCAAAGAGAAGTTAGGATGATTCCTCCAGTTCAGATTGTATGTGTTACAATATTGAGCATGTTGATTCATCAGCCCTCTAGCTTGTTGCCTCACGTAGTAGATTGATTCAGGATTCACGGGACATATGTCACTTGTGTGACCTTCACCACATAACTCGCAGCAAGTAGACATCTGTTGCACATGTTGCATGTGTTGTGCATGGTGCATCATCATTTTATTCATCGGATTTGCTAATCTTGCTATTTCTGTCATCAAGCTCGATCACCACAGCTGCCTTTTGTTTAAGTGCTCTTCGTGGTTCCCCTTCTCCTTGCCAATTGTTATCATTAGCAGTGAAATTGTTTAGAAGGATCTGGATCTCACTATACGGTCTTGCCATGCAGCTACCCCCACATGCTGAGTCAAGATTCATCTTTGATACCTCGTCCAACCCATCAACAAAAGTGTGACCTAACACCTCATCAGTCTGACAATGGTGTGTGCTGTCTCTGAGTAGCTTCTTGTACCTTTCCCAAGCTTTTCAGAGGGTCTCAGCATCTCGTTGTTGAAACAGAATAATCTGGCTCCTCAGCGACTTTGTCTTCTTTGTGGGAAAAAACTTGATTAAGAATTTCCTTGCTAGATCATCCCAATTGTGGATTAAGTTTGCAGGCTCCTTTTGTAACCATTCCTTAGCTTCCCCCAGCAGTGAAAAGGGAAACAGTGTCAGCTTGACATAATCCTTGGAAACGTTTGGATAATTGTAAGTGTCTGTAATTTCCACGAAGTTCTGAATGTGCCTCCGTGGGTCTTCATGACATAGACCCACATATTGCCCTGTGGAGTGAATCATCTGTACCATGTACTGTTTGAGTTCAAAGTGACCCGTGATATCAGGCTTCACTATCGCCTGAGTCATAAGAGCCAGATTGGGTCTTGCAACCTCTATAACCGGACGCTCTTCATTACCTGCCATCTCTACTGGCTGTGATTGAACTACGATGTCCAACTCTCTTTCAATTCTAGTTCTAGCTTCGACTTCCCTCCTCACTCTATGAAGTGTTCTCTCGAATTCAGGATTAAGAGGAAGGATATTGTTAGTGCTTCTACTCCTCCGCATTCAAGAGAAGAGCTTGCGTTATTAAAAAAGAGGCAAATTAAAAATTAAAACTTGAACAAATAACGAATAAAAGCTCAACTTAACCAAACAATCAATAACTAAGTCCCCTGCAACGGCGCCAAAAACTTGTTGGGACCAAACACACACGCATGTATACGTGGTCGTCAAGAAATAAAGTGACTCGAAAGTCAGATTTCGAACCCACAAAGACTTAGATTGATCGTTAACTAAGTAAACTAAAGTCAATTAATTGTCCAAGGTATTTAAGAGTGATGTTTTTCTATTAATCTACTATTGCGAAAGTTATATAAATAACAACTAAATTATCAAGAATGCAATTTTGTATGACGAGATTTTACTTCATAGGAGATGGAAATTCCAAGGGTGTGGTTGGTTTATCAATCCTATTAAGTTCAATAATCATACTTGTTAATCCGGATTATCTATGGTTGCTAATTAACCGGATCTTTTATCTGAATAGCATGTTCCTACAATACTACTCGCCTGCCCACAATATATTAACCCTATATTCCTATGGTATTGAGTCTATCATGAACGAACATAATACGGTATTCAATTAAACAAGACTGTTAGGTATTCCTATCCTAACCGCGTAATCTTCCCCCGAGCCACGGGTTCAGAAACAAGCTTTCCCTAATTCTACTCTAATCTAAATACGACTTTCCTAAGCATAGCATCGATAGTAAATAGAACTCAACTGCTGGCCAGACAATTAAGCAAATATGCACAAAATTAGAGAAACAACCACAAGATGATAATCCGAATTAAGAAGATGTAATTAATAAACGTTAATAATCATGTCAAGCACAACCCTAGAATGTAGAGTGCTTAGACAACTCATGTTCATAATAACAATTTTCCAAGTCTTTTGCATAAACAAATTACAAAGAAAAGAAAAATGGATGAAGAACTCTATGATTTTCTACTCCAAAAGTTATCCACGTGATGTCCTTGCCTTCGGTCGCAAAACTCCCTCCAAAGTGGCATTTTTAGGTCTATTTATTTGTGTAAGTAGGTCAAGGCCTAGTCAAACCAGGAGATGAAATAAAGCTTCAAAACTCAGAATGGACCTGGCCCTAGGCCCGACCTGGCAGATTGGTCTCGGAAACTGGCAGCTTGCTCGACTTACGATGAGCGTAAGTGGCAAGATCTGGCCAAGGGTAGATGGGAGTCAAAACACCACGGTACGTGGTATGTGGCTCGCTTTCTTCGAGAGGTACTTTCTTTCATGTGTGCTAACTCCGTTCCCACATGTATTGGAGATTTTTCTGTGATGAGGCGGAGCCCCAGGAGGGAGAATCGTTGGCTTTGGGGCCGAGGACTGATAACAAGCGGAAGGAGTCTTCGAAGAACGAGGATGCTCATAGCGAGGCAAGCCCCGCTCAAAGGCCCAAAGGATATCTATCTGCCGATTCTGTGGCGTCTGAGGCTTCTAGCCTTGGAAAAGTGGTTCCTCTCTTATCGCCGTCTTCGTTTCCCGCCGAAGGTACTTCGTGGGATACAGCTGTTCAGCTGCCGTTCTCGCCCCCGTTGAAGGTACTTCGAGGGATGCTCGGGACCCGGGGCCGCCTAAGTCATGTAGCGTCTCGAGCGGTCGTGCCCTCGACGACATAGGTTTGACTGGGGCCGGTGAGGCCAGGCCAGTAGGTGCAGGTTCAACGTTTGAGGAGGCCCAGCGGCTTGGTTCTGTGGTGAGCTTTGATCAACTTCGTCGATCTCCTGATTTCATATTTTTGTTTTTCTCATTGAGCTTCCTTTTCGTAGGCTTTTGACAAGCTCAAGTTCGGGTTGCTCTGCTGTGAAGCCCGGTTAAGGAAAGATTTGGATGGGGAGAAGTCCCTCAGGCTTCTTCGTGATGAAAAGGGAAAAGAATTGAGGCACCTTCATTACGAGGCAAACCGGAGCCTGAATTACGAAAGCCACCTTGAGAAACAGGTAACTTTTGCTCCAAGGGGATGCATGCTCCTTCCCCTATCCTTAGAGATTAATATTTCGATACCTCAGTTGCAGGGCAAGATAGAGGATTTGGAGCGCCTTTAGGGCGAGGTTAGCTAGGCTAGGCATGAGTGTAATGAGCTAAGGGCTCAGATAGATGCCCATGTTGCGGCCAAGAAGAATGCTCTGGCCAAGGTTTCTGCCCTCGAGGCGCAGCTCCGAAATGCTCGTGAGAACACCTCGGCTCGAACATGCATGATCGCAAGGCTCTAGTCTGAGCTTCTGAAGGTGAAGTCCGAAGTTGTGGACGCCCGGGCTAAAGCCGAAGCAATCCAAACCAAGCCTGATAAGAAAGTGGCCGTCTATTTAAATGATGCTGCCGACGCTCGGGCTGAGCTGAGAGGGGCTCTCGACCGGGAGAGTAGGAACAAAGAGTATGCTCGGTGCAAATCTCGAAGGGAAACCCTCGAAGAGATTCATGCTAGGGGTTTCGATCTCTCGGAAGAGATAGCACAGGCCAAGGCGGATGAATACGATGCCAAGTTCCTTTTGTCCGATGCCGAAGATAATAAGGAGGAGGCCGATGGGGCCGCAGTCCCCGAGGGGAAAATAGACTAGGCTTTTTTCTTTGATTCTTTGTACAGTGTTCCTAGAGAACTTTGTAAATGTGGCCTTGTGTTATCTCATACATGTATATATATATATATATAT